ACGCACTGACCACCAGGGGGCAGACGCTCAGCGGAAGGAGCTTCCCCCTAGTGGTCAGTACACTCCCACAGGGGAGCGCCACTCAGCCAGAAGCCAGCTGAAGGCTGGGAGTGCAGTGGTGGTGGCAGGAGCCTCTCCTCCATCTGTGGCAGCACTAAGGACCCCTCAGGGAATGTCCACCTGCCGGCTTAGGCGGACATCCCCCGAGGGGTCCCGCAGTGGTGGTGGCAGGAGCCTCGGCTGAGGGCCACCCCCCCGCCAAGGACCCCTCAGGGAATGTCCACCTGCCAGCTTAGTTGTAAATAATGCTGTTATGAACATAGTGGTGCATATATTCTTTCTGATTGATGTTTCAGGATTCTTATATATATTCCTAGAAGTGGGATCACTGGGTTAAATGGCAGTTCTATTTTTAATTTTTTTAGGAACTTCACTTTTTTAGGAAAACTCAACTGTTTTCCATATGGTTGTACCAGTCTGCATTCCCACCAACAGTGTATTAGGGTTTCTTTCTCTACACATCATTTTTTTAAATCTAAAATAAATTTAAGATATCTATGAAACATACATAACTTTCTAAAAGTGTACACTCTCTAGACCAGTTGTTGGCAAACTTCCTGTAAATGGCCAGATATTTTAGTTGTAACAAATCTGGCCCATAATACCTAAAATATTTAGCATCATGGGCCAGATTTGTTACAACTACTCAATTCGGCCATTGTAGCATGAAAGCACTCATATCAAGTATGTAAATGAATGAAAATGGTTATGTTCCAACAAAAGTTTACTTACAAAAACAGATGGTGGACTAGATTTGACCCATGTGCCTGTAGTTTACTAACCCCTGCTCTAAAGGGTTTCCCAGGGAAGATGAAGGTCATCATGGACATTCCTGGGACCATGAAAAGGCTGCCTTTAGGCAAAATAGTAGTGCCCAAATAAGCTATATTCAATGATTCTAGGCACCCCAGCTTCTTTTTCTAGTTTTCTCCTATAATCCTCCAAAGTGTCTAGTAATTGGAATGTGTGTTTTCTCTCTCTCTCTCTCTATTCCCCCAGCCCCACTAAGAACTATCAAACTCTGTTTACAAAACCAATTAAATATAAAATATCAAAATTATCCATAAGGTTTAAGATAGTCATTTTTCATGCTATTATAATTTTTTTAAAGAACTTCAACATTTTAAAAATATATATATTTTTAATTATTTTTACTAGAGGCCCAGTGCATGAATTCGCGCACCGGTGGGGTCCCTCGGCCTGGCCGGTGATGGGGGCCAATCAGGGCCATCTCACCCAGTCCCGATCAGGGCCGGCCAGCTGGGAGGAACTGCAGAGGTTGGCTGGCTGCTGGGAGACGCGGGGGGGGGGGGGGGGCTTACGCTGATGAATACCAGTCACTGCCCCATGCCAAAGTGTTGAGACTGCGAGAGAGGGATTTTCCTGTTGGTGTTTTCACCGGTGTTTGGCGTTTTTGTGGGCCAGAGTTCCCGTGTTTATCTTAGGTGGTCTCTGGTTGTTTCTTATAAAAAATGTTCTTTTTTTCT